GCTTATTGATTTTTAGTTTTGGTTTTAATTATATATAAGAGGCAGTATAGAGCCGGATAGTCTTCTTGACCTAGTGTTACCGTTAGACTTTCGCAATAGTGAGTTCCAGCTCTAATCATGTCCATCATATGACAGACGAAAGCTCAGCTTTTTTTTCCTGAAACGAGGGAGGATGTCTCGTGAACTGTGTCAATGTGAACGTTGTATTAAAGTCAAATAGATGCAGTACAACTGGATCCAGTCATCGTCTTCTTGTGAGATCAACCTACGAATCTCTCTTCTTCGTTAACTTTTATACGAAATGAAGGTTTCTTTCATAAAGTTATCCTAGGAGATTGATCGCAACCCAGTTTCTCTTCGCCTCTCATCAACATAACCAGACATAATATATAGAGAGATGGGGTGATGTTGGTCATCAAACTTTGATGGTCAAGAACAGACCTTAATTTTTCCGTCCTAATTACTTTGGGCCATCACTGCTAGTACGCACATATGTGAGCACATGCAAACACATGCATACACACACATACAGACACCCATATTCCTCGAGGTTGGCATTTATTTGAACTTACTAAATCACGTCATACCTCATCGAAGAGCTTAGATATACAGTACACATACAACGTTTAGGGATGAGCTGGTAAGTTTTCTTGACTCATTAGCTTAACTGTGGTTTTAAAAATCATGGTCTGCCCTGATGATTTTAGTCATACAACGCATGGAAGCTTAGTGCGTTTTCACTGGAATTGAAAAAGATTGACTCGGGAGTAGCATCACCAAGAAGGACCCGCTGTCTTCTTTTGGTATGATCGACCTTCGAATCTCTTCACCATACACTTTCACTGGAAATGGATGTAAACTCAATAATTATGAAACAAGAGATTACTCAAAACCCAAATTTTCTTCGTATATACCATGTCTACGCTTGCTGAAAGAAGTGAAAGCTGCGATCTAATAGGATAGATGTTGCCGTTGAGCATGAATTAGGTGGTTTTTATTGTCATATTTTTTTGTCGTGTATAAGACTCCTTGTTTTTCTTCGCTTCCAGGATATCCTCCCTTTTATCCTGGATTTTCACAGGACCTGAAGGACTAATTGGTCATCTTTTTGTAGAGTTCACAGTATCCTCCATAATCTGCTTCTGTTTGCGGGCTTTCGATGTCCCAATGTTCCAGGAATCATTTGGACCTCCATTTCTCTTCGTGTCTGTTCAGGAAAATTGTCGGATACATCTATGATCTTCAAGACAATGCATTCTCAAACGTTTTCTTGATCTTTAAGCAAAAATATAGTTCTTTCTCCAGGGTTGCAGTGGTTTCTATATCAAGAGGAACTAAAGATAAATTCAACCATTTATCCCCATCTTCATATTGATCAGTGTATGTTGTCACTTTGGAAACCCCATAATCTGAACAAGCTAGCTTGAACTGGTGCTGTCTTATACTCCTATATCTAAGCAATTTATTGTCATATTTATTATTTATAAAGTAACTATTTCCCGTTAACTTGAATCCATCGAGGAAGCTACTAGCATCTTTCCTACACAGTACGACGCAGAACATTACTTAGTCTTGATCAGTCTGATTTGTAAAACTTCGTTTTAAATCTGCTCTTAACGTTTCCTGTTACATTTTATATACTTCTGGTTTTCAAGCCAAATCTAAGAGTAGATAAAATATTACTTTGGCCTCCCACTTATTTCGATTAATTAATTTTGAATAAATTGTTGCATACCATTTGCATACCATTTCCATTTTGCATACCTTTTTTCCTCTTATTCAAATTAGCTCTTCCGAGGCAATCGCGTTACAAAGTGTTCATGTGATGAATTTGACGCATTCTTCTCTCCCAACTATCCTCCTTTGGCCGAGCTTGGTATAGACATCGTACTTTATTTGAATCGTATTTTCTGGCCTTGTAACATCAACCAGGGGTTTCGTGCACATACAAAGCTCTGCCGCAATGTTGTGGTGCTCCGTCTCTTCCCTTCTATCACCACAAATGCTGTTAGAGCCTTTTTACAGCCGCCAGTTCAGGGTAAGAAAATGCATCCTTTGCTTTCCTTATTTGGCTAAGGCATATTGAAAGTTTCTGGATTTTTCCATCCTA